ATTCATCCCAATAAAATAATAAAATTTTATCCACTCTATTTTTACAAAGCCCATATAAAACATTAAAAAATTGGGTCCACAGCCCACATTAAATTAGGGCTTTCTTTCCGAGCAGCTGTGCATCGTCTTCTCTGCATCAACTCCTCTGCCAACAATCGTCTTTTTTTGTTTCTCTCTTTCTCCGCCTCTTCAAGTCCTCATCTTCTCCCTTTTGCTGCCGTGTCCAAGTGCAAAGCCAAGGATCCGATCCATATCCCATGTCGGTATCCGTGTCATGCCGTGTCGACACGGATACTTCTCCATTTTTGGAGAGTCCGAGCAACATAGAGTAAAATTATTCCCTAATTCTACTGATAATGGAAAACTAAAATAAGGAAATTAATAAAATCCTAATCTAATTAAAAATCATATTCTAATCACTAAAGAAAAGAAATCATATTCTAAACAAGAAATGAGAATAAAAAGAAAAAACCTACTAGAACTAGAAAATGAAACTAGAAAAGATAAATCACAATTGTAGTAGAAAACTACTAATCATGATTATATACTACATCAATCCCCTCCACTTGAATAAAACTCATCCTCGAGTTTTCTTAAAGAAAAAATCAATTAATTCGGAGGAAAATACTCAAAAATTTCTGTCAATACTAATGTTGAAGAAATTTCAATTTCTTGATGTTCTGTCGCCCCATAATCTTTGTTCTTATCCAGGAATAGTTCTGCCTGATAAGTTACCTCCCCAACATAGTGAGATATTGTAAAATTGGTGTGTAATAGCTTGGGCTTGATAAATCAATTATTTTTTGCAAAAGTCTAATATAATTTCTGAGCAAATGTCTCATGAGTAGATTTTGGAAACATATAAGCTTCATCGAGAAATGCAATTATTCCATCAAGTTTCTTCTCAATTAGATCGAGCACATCTTGATTATCAACAAATATTATGTAGCTCCAGTTTATCTTTTCTTTTTCATGCTATTCTGGTCCATCTTAAAAACATGCTGGTTAAAATGTTGTTGCTATTTTTTATTGGTGAAATTGATACGGAACAACTCAAACATGTTGTGCTTAAAACTTTCAAACCCGTAGATATCAAGAACTCCTATTATTGTCTTTTGAGTTTGGATCATGTCCAATGGAGGTACTTATTTTTTCCACAACCCAGTCAAACAGGCGAGAATATATAGTTTTAGCCAATGTATCACTACTACTCAAAGCAGCCTTTGGATCAAGAGTCCAAGTAATAACTTTCTCAAGAGTCATCATCACGCGCTTAATAAGTGCATCTTCCAGACTCTTAGGATCACACTTGAGCAATTCAACAATATAATTAAGATGAAATCCAGAGTTCTCATCCTTAATCACAAAAGAATCGATCTTGCTATTCGGAGCAATATTATAACACATCCTAATGACTCCAACAATGGTTCACCATGAACCCTGAACTTAGTCGATGCTACAGCAATAAGAAGCAACTTCAATACTTGAATGGTAGTGTTGTCAAGTGATAAATTATCTGCACAACTGCAGACTTTGCTGAGAATATTAGTGATTAGTTGCGCATTTTTAGCACCATCTAGACTAGGATCAACCTCAAGGTGATTGTACCCAATGAGTTTATGGAGGCAATACAGCGCAAGCTCCACGACTCTAATGCTCTTTGTCTCTAATGCAATTCGAAGTGGATTCAAAACAAGCTCATCCTAAGCTCCTCCTAAAATATGCCCTGCACTTTCTAAGGCTGTCGTGATAGATCCACTACTATCTACAGGTCGGCTGGCAGATTCCACCTCCTCAGCAGCAGCTGGAGCAGCGTTTGATTGATCTGATTCCGTCTCAAATTTTTCAGCTCTAGCATCAATTGTAGGTAAATTACTTGACACTTCAACTGAGGATGCTGCTTGGTTGGATTCACCATAATTAGATTGCTAACTGACGTCTTTTACACTATCCTTAATTCCTTCATGAAGTTTAATTCCCTTTCCTTTTGTTGGACACTTCCAAACTTCAACTTGCTCATCGTCGGACTGTGGCTCAATCTTGGAGTTTTCAATTGCAGTTTCCATATACAAGGAATCAGCAGGTCTCGGATTTTCAACTTGCACATGATTTTCTTTTTCTATTTTAGTATCATTGACGATAAAATTCTGATTACCTTGAATTACATCTTTTTTAATCTCATCATCTGTCTTATGGACCCTCTCTTTATTTACACTAGTACTTACAAATTGCTCGTCACATGATACCAAAACAATCTTCTTATCGTACGACCTAAACACGTACTTATTATCTCGACCTATGTAAGTGGCATCTACATCATAGTACTATGGTTGTCCCCAGAGTACATGATAATCGTCAAACTCTACCACGTTACATATAATCTCATCTTTATAGTATTTTCCAAGAGAGTGAAATTTTGTATACCTCTATATTTTGAAATTCTTATCCTTGCGAAGCTTGATAACAAAATGAGTATTTTTCAGTCTTCAAATTTAAAGCTTTCACTAATGCTTTGGACACCAAGTTCTCACTATTCTTATGATTTATTATCACTTTACATATTTTGTTTATGATCGTGCATCGTGTTCTAAAAATTTTGTTGTACTTCAAATATGACTCATATATGGCTATATTCTCTCGACTTTTATAGAATCCTTAATAATTTGTGTGTATTCAAATTTATCTTGGACTCGTGGAAATTCTCTAGCTATCTGTTGTCGTGTTTTAAACTTGTTGAAGTAACAAACATTCATAGCAGTTAAAGTTTGCAAATTCTTGTCAGCTTGTATCTCCATGGGCTAGCGATTCCTTTCAAGACTCAACACGGTCACCACCTGCGTGATGTTATGAAGGATTTCATCGATCCCCTCGATTCGTTGTTCGAGTTTGTTGAGCCTCCATTCATCTTCGGAGGTTCGACTACCACCAGTACCTTTGTCGACCATCGGATCAAGGTAATTTCCTTGCTCTAATACCAATTTTGGTGCAAAAGTGTTTAAAAATTCTTATAATAAGAATTATGTAGCAATTAAGAGCAATATTGGAATAACTTGCTTGAATGTTATTGAATAATAATTGATGTTATCTAAAAAGTGTACAATGCCTTGCAAAATTATTCCATAATTCTACTGATAATAGAAAACTAAAATAAGGAAATTAATAAAATCATAATCTAATTAGAAATCCTATTATAATCAATAAAGAAAAGAAACCATATTCTAAACAAGAAATGATAATAAAAAGATAAAACCTATTAGAATTAGAAAAGATAANACAAATTAAAAATCCTATTCTAATCAATAAATAAAAGAAATCCTATTTTAAACAAGAAATAAGAATAAAAAGATAAAACATATGAGAACTAGAAAAGATAAATCACAATTGTAGTAGGAAAATACTAATCATGATTATGTACTACATCAAAGAAGGACCAACAAGCAGTAGTCCAATTATTGTCTTCTCTTAGAGGCATCAGCTCTAGAAACCATAGTTATCATACCCAACCCGATCATTAACCCGAATGTAGTTCAACCGGTGAGTCATTGCAAGATCGAATTTTAGTTAAATTTTTTTTAAAATAAAGATTAAAATGGAACATCTATAATTATGTTACATTTATTGTTAAGACTCCACCAATTGCCATAGTGGTCAAAATTCCCATAATTCTCAAGGTGAGCAAAGGTTTGAATCCTCCCAACTGTAAATTTGATATTAAATTTTGCTTTCAACCTATTTGATAACTAACTGGTTCAATCCAAATGGGATCCTGTTCAAGACAAACCAATCCAGTTCGAACGGTTCTTGACTGATTCAATTGCTAATGAACTAATTAATGCAAACCGGACAAGACCACTGTCCGCTTTGCCATATCCCAAGCCGGACTGGCTGGTCCACTCCGATTTTAATAACTATGCTTGAAACAATCTCTAGAGTTAAAGATATAGAATTAAAGAAATCTTCAAAAGTAACAACCTTTGAAAAGGGAGATCAAGACTGAGCCAAGCAACCCAGACATAATTTGGATTACCGCTCATCCAGTAAACAGAGTTATGGTGGATATGGTAAATGTAGCTTATGTTTAAGTCATCATGCTAGCCCATTCTATGCTCATTGTACAACCTCAATGAACATATTTTCACATTTCTCATTTAACAAGAGACACATAAATTTTATCTCTTCCAAACATTGTAAAGATCTATTAGATACCACATGAATTGCATGCCACAACAAACACAATCCTATCAAATTGATAAAAACACAAAATCACCAACACTGATAAACTATATACTAATATAAAGTATTTAAGGGCATGTACAATAATAACAAATATGTACTCAAAGAATGGTAAAAGATAACTTCTTTTGGTGGACGGGTATGGAGGCATCATAAAGGAAGGGAGATGGACCTTTGTGGCAGTCTTAAGTACTTTGATGTTATCAGGACACAAGCGTGAGATTTGATCATATGATTCAGCAGCTTTGTGATATTCTCTAAGCTCAACATAGATTGACGCACGGTGAAACTGAAGACTAATATCTTTTGGATCTGCTGTTATTGCTTTACTTAGACAATACTTGGCCTGTCGTTTATTATCTAGCTCTCTGCATGTTGTAATATACACTATTCAGTAGTGAGTTCGGTCAA